GTGTCAGAATGGTATATATTTATACTTCTCATCCAAACACAATTAAATTCACTCTATAGGAGACACAGTTTATCAGGAGAGGATTTTTAAGTAATAACAACTCAGAATAAAAACAGGAGTAACAACTTTCTACTTATTCCCTTTTTTAAAAAATGTACAGTAGAAAGTACAGATAATTGTGTAAAAATGTAATGAATAAAAGTAAAAAGTACGCTGAAAAATAATTACTCAAGTAAAGTACAGACAACCAAAATTTCTACTTAAGTACAGTAACAAAGTATTTGTACTTGGTTATTTTACAAATCTGGTAATAGTAAAACTATTGTGAACATGTAAATGTCATTTTTGACTTTAAATTAGGTGTGACTATCACTATCATGAATATTATAAATTAGTGATCTTTTTATAGACACTTTCGGGCCGTTTTGACCGACACAAATTGTTACGTGTACCGTCTGGTGTTCAAATAACCAAATTGTTACGGCTTCTTCAAACTCACCCCAAAATATTCAACCACATCTTTACCAAACTCCTCCCACAAAAGTCAAACAGACCAATCACTTATTTTCCAATCTCCGCCCACACTCTAAGAACCTCCCACTTCGTGACTGCAGAGACCCCCTTCTGTCTCAAGCTCCAAACTTCTGCTGCACAACAACATAACAAATTTCCTGAGATTCTTTTCATGAACACACAAATTTTCAGTTGTGCCCCCCCCCGCGCACATGTAGCCCCCATTAACATTTTTCTAGAGGCGCCACTGCAGTTGAAATGAGAAGTTTCATCAGTATTCATGATGTTCTGTGCCAATTCATTGTCTTGAGTATTTCCAACCTGTACATTTAAAATCCTGTTTGTTCTTGTTTGTTTGTTTGTTTGTTTGTTTGTTTGTTTGTTTGTTTGTTTGTTTGTTTGTTTGTTTCAGACCATGAGGGCGGACGACGTGATATGCACCAGAGTTTACGAGCGACAATGAAGAGCACTTCTCACTTTTTTTGGCTCCCTCCTCAGCATCACCACTTCCATCACCACGCCCTCAGTTTTTGTCCCGGGACACCGTAAAACTGTAGTTTTTGATCCAGTTTTCCTCTTAGCTTCATGTAGTGTGGTAATGTTTACATTATAACCTGAGTCCCATCAAACCCCCACCACCTTCACGTTTTAACCCTTTAACTGTGTGTTGCAGCTCCTGAGTTTGTGTGTCTGTGTCGCAGCAGATGACAAATCTGTCCGCTCTCTATCTTGTGACCGTTTGTATTTATTTCATCACTAGATTTGATTTTTATCTTCTTTTTTTTAATTGTGTCTCTTTTATATAAAAAATGATTTAGGAAAACAAACACTTTTCTATGAGGGGGGCGGGGTGGAACAATAAAACACGTTATTAACTCACCTTGGTGTCAACTCTTGGCTCTCCTGGACTGAAAAGCTTTTGAAGCAGGAAAGCGTTCAGTGCTGCTCATGAGCGTCGCTGCAGCATGTGGGCTGCGTTAAACAGCTCCATCTTATTTTTAGGCTTTCTGTCAGCTGTCTGAAACTAGAATAACTTATCAGCTCCCCCCTCGCTTTTAAACTCACTCACTTCCTTCTGAAGTTTTCAGTTTCGTCCGACTGTCTTCTAGGAAAACAGATCATGAACCACTGGGTGGATTTTAAGGGACTTCTGTGGATTCATGACAGATTAACTTTTCAGGTTCAAGTTCAGTTTATTTATACAGCTCCAAGTCACAACATACGTTGTCTCAGGGCACTGTACATAAAAAGAACAATGTAAAGAAGAAAGCAGCAGATTGTGTTGAATCACTTCATCACAGTCTCCCATCCTGAGCAAACGGTGGAGAGGAAAAACTCCCTGCTGATCAGGAAGAAACCTCCAGCAGAACCAGGTTGTTACTCAGGTTTATGAAGGTATCTTGTTCTGTGAGTTTCTCAGCCTCCATGCTCAGTCTGTCAACATGAGGTTATATGGTGCAGAGGATATTTCAGGATAAAAATGATTTTAGATAAAGTTCAGGTTAAAGTCTGGTTTTCAGTGTTCTACCTTCATAAAATACAGATTTTATGTTTTATTAAGAATTTTAGAAGAATTAAGTAAAATGCTTTTCAAATAGCTGGAAAATGCAGAGTTTTGAGGAAATATTTTACAAAATTTTCCAGGTGTATTAAACTCATGGAACCCCCTAGAAC